GTCTCAGGACACTTCCCTCCAGATCGACGGTTTTGAGGGTTCCCTCCACCCAGGACGGAGGGGAGCAGATCGCTTCATTGATGCATTTCAAGATGCTTATGTTTTTTGCAGCTGCAGGTTTTCTCACTGAAGAGTGTGCACTCTGCGGTGGTCGAAGCATCAAGGCTCACTCAAGCGAACCAACAGATTCGTACAACCCGGTGATGTACTGGCGTTATGTCCAGGCGTCATAGCTGTGATGCACATGCGATTTTGAGCCTGGGTTTGGCGCTCGAGAGGCGGGTAACTTTTGGAGTGTATAGAATGTTTGCAATCCGCACTCCTCAGTGTTGCAGGGTGAATCCCAACTCAGTTTTGGCGGACTGGATCAAGCTCTTGCCTCTCACCTTTGCAAATGCGGCCTGGCTACAAACCCTTCCTATCTAAGTGCGGCTTGGCAGCTTATCGCCAAGGTGCTGTGGTTCTCCGACAGGCCTGCGGTTGGGAGTCGCATCAGACTGTAGTGCGAGTCCCTGAGGAGTTTCCACCTGGCTGCATGAACCTTGTCGATCTCCTTTTCGCAATCGCGCAGTCACTCCTTCGTCCTTCCGACTCCTGGTGCTCTCATGCTCTCTGTCCCGCCGATGATTGGTACCGGTTGCGACGCAGCGGGTATGGCTGTTTTGGACACCGCACGCCTGAGCCGCAGAAGGGAAGTAGCGAGCTCCGAGCATGCCCAAACCTCTTGGCGAACACAAGAACTAACACTGAGAAGATGACGATTTCGACAGTGTCGCGTTGTTGCAGGCCGTAACCCCAACTTCGACACCTACTCGTACTTGCCGGCCCTTTGCAATCGCAATGTCAATCAATCTCAAGGAAACTTGTATGCTGCAGGGTGAGTCTGGTCACCATCTGAAGCAAGGGTGCACATGAGGGGCCGGAACAAGAATGTCTCCTTCCCGCAAGTACATGAGGAGATGGCCAGACAGACGAGAATTCAAAGCGGAAGTTTATAGCACAAAAAAAGTGAATGTTAAGCAAAGCATGCGAATCCCAGCGAAAGGGTGCTGTACATGATGCCCGGCAAGGGATTGCATGATGCTGCCGCACCTAACATGTCCACAGGTGCGTCTCCCATGCCTGGAAGCCAAGTCGATGTGGTGATGCAAGCAAATTAATCTTGCCGTCGGCCTCCTGCTGCAGATGATACTGTCTTGCCATTGCATTGCTGGAGCTATTGATAGCTAGCTGTTCCGAGACATGCAGCTCCAATCCTCCGTCTGGCAGGCAGTTGACACTGGTGCAGAGGACTTTCTTTTCCTACATAGTCCAGAATTGGTGCGGGTCCCTGGCGAAAGCCGGATGCTTGTTCTTTCGGCACAGTGGAAACAGACTGGCCGGGATGAGGTTTGAGGACCTCGACTGCATGGGTCGGGCCGCTAAGGAGGCGGGCTCCGAGCCGTAGCCCCCCGAAATTTCTGTCTGGTCGTCTCGATTGGACTGAAGAGAGCCTTCTCAGATGAATCCAAATCTTTGGCGTGGACGACCGGTCACGAAGGAGGATTGTGCTGAGCCTTGAAGCTGAGCTTTCCTCTCAGAGCTCTGAGAGACGAAATGCGAGGACCTGCGCTGGGCACTCAGCGTGGTGAAAACCCGCGGTTTCGCGTTTGAGGCGCAGCGTCCGCTGATGGGACTCCTGCGATTTTGCTTTTGTGCTGTGCAGGGCACCCGGGAGAGCACCATGCTGATACCACTGGCCGACTTCCTCAATCATAACATGGTCACCGTCCCAGCTCCTGCCTCTGAGCATGCAGGATGTACTACAGCCCGCCTGCACCTAGGTTGCCAGCGTTCGAACGGCAACCCTGGCAGAGGACCCCCTCTTGACCCCTTGCACCATGAGGTTTGAGGTCGAGTCAGTTGTCATTTGGCTCCACTGAGCTGTGAAGCAGCCCTGAGAGAGGACGCACTTCGGTTCGTCGCCACCAAGGATGTGATGCCTGGTGATGCGTGGCACTCAGCCAATGCATGCCGTGTCTCGGAAGTCTTTGAAAGTTGGGTGACAGCGAAGCATCTTCGACAGGAGCTGTGCATCGATTACGCGCAGGCTTCCAATTTAGAGCGCCTCGGAGGCAGTTCTATGCAACGTACAAAATTAACCCATCCACAACTGTCAAAGGCGAAGAGGTCACCTGTCATGCCAGGAACAGGTTTCGAGAAAGGATGCAAAGCGACTAGCTGCGAAGGGGCTTCTGCCTTGGCAGCACCAGCACATTTATTTGCGTCCCACAGGTGTAGTCAACCGACAGGACACAGTGACAGCATTTTTCAATGCCATTTTTCCGAACGCGCCTCAAATCCCCATACTCGTTGTAGCTATGCTGGTTGTGGTAGCTGTGCTATTGCTTATGGCGTGTTGTGTCGGCACGGCATCTCCTTGAGGTTCCTTGTCCGCTACGGTTTCCGAGTCGAGGACATCTTGACTTGCATGCAGATCTGAGGATGTGGCTGTTGTGCCTGGAGGACAACCCTTTCGGTGGACGCCAGTTTGAGCTCGGAGGTGAACCGATGCAGGTGATGCCCGGCGCTCCTTGACGATCTCGGTTCCCTAAATCTTACTGAGTGCCGAAGACTGCTACGGCTGCTATGGTCTGCAGATGCCCTCGCGCGCCCTCCCCGGCCCAAGATGGGGATCCAGGCTCCCTGAAGGGATCGCTGGGCCCTCTTTTGCTTGCGACGTTGCGCAGCGACACCGCAGACCGTCGGCCAGCAGCACGATCAACCGAAGCCAAAACAAGCCAAAGCCAAGCCCAGGACCGGACACTTGTTTGCATGCGCAGTTCGCGACCCCTCTTCGATCTCCATAGTCTGACATAAATCAACTGCTACAGAAAGCACCGCCATTAGTTACTCCTTCGAAAAGCTGAGCATGGACACACTTCCTGAAGGAGTGTCTGACGGGGCCCCAGCCATGAACCACAGAAAGACCACTTCACCTGAGTGTGCAAAGGTTGAGCAGTTCAGCTTCGATGAGGAGGAAGTGTTGTCTTGACTTTCGCGATGCCTGCGTTTTGTGTGCGGGCCGGAGGCTGATCTTCAAAGGGAGAACAAGACCTTCCAGGCCGGGGTTGCAGATGCTTGCGCTTGGGTGCCGTTGCCTTCGGTTGCGGATGAACCTGCAGATCAAGTTCCATGGCTGAAGCCATCAAAGCTGTCAAACTCAACCATTGAGACAAACTTCTCGCAGCCATTTCCAGACTCGGCTCTTGCGTGCTTTTTACCAAGTCTTGGCCTCATGGTACTCGGACTGCAGCCAGATTCGAGTGCTAGATTAGATCAGCAAGAGGAAAATGGGGAGAGCGAGAGAGTTAGAGAGAGAGAGAGAGACAGGGCAGAAGAAGAAGGGAGAGAAACGTCAGCGACAGAAAGCGCCAGCTCGCGCCGCTGATGCGCGGAGGGGAGAGGCGGCACGAACTCTCGGTTTGCTGAACCGAACCTGAACCAACAAAGGTTTGATTGGGCACCGAAAGCCAGTTTTTTTGTACAACCGGGGCCTCTGCTGGATGTACATTGCAACACCCCAACGTTGTACATGCCCGGCGGCACGAGATGCATCAAGACATGGGGTTTTCTTAGTAGGCTAAGGTTCCTTGCTGCAGTCATAATATAGCCCCCGAAACAAAAAGCAAGTCTTTCAAGGCCTCACATTAGACCCGTTTAACGCTTTCATGAAGCAGAACAAGACCATGTAAAGTCCCTTTGAAGCTTGATGAAACCCCACACTAATTCTGCAAGCGGACTCGAGAACCGCAGCCGGAAGTGCCCAGGAAATGGCGCGTGCGACACCAGCAGTGGACAGTGCTTTTGTCAGGAGCGAAGGGCAGTGCTGTTGCTTAAACCTTCACCCCAAAGCCTAACCTCTAAACTCTAAGCTAAGCCGGTCCGGCAGCGTTAATTCGGAGACGTGGCTTGTGGGTTCTGGCGGTCCGCACTTGTGGACAGTGGTATCTTGGCTGATGGTTTACCTGACCTCAGCAGGCAGGCAGGCAGTCCGTCAGTCGGTCCGTCAGTCGACCGGTGGGTCAAGCAGTCAACCAGTCAGTCCATACTTATGCACGTGTCTATCAACCTCTGTCTATTTGTTTATCGTGCTCTTATCTACCTGATCTCCCTGGCTGCTGGCTGTCTGTCTACCTACGTTTTGGCTTCTGGCTATCTGTTTATCTACCTTTGTCCATCTATCTATTTATCTATCTATCTATCTATCTATCCGTCTATCTATCTGTCTATTCGTCTGTCTGATTATGTGTCCATACATCTGTAGGCAGTCTGTAGGTCTAGTTATGTATGTCTGAGACTACCGGGGTCTTTCTACCTATGCCACTATGTATCTATCCATCTATCTGTAAACCCATGTGTCTGTCTATCTATCTGTCTCTCTATCTATCTTTCTATCTATCCATCTATCTATTTAACTGTCTATCTATCTATCTATCCATCTATCTATTTAACTGTCTATCTATCTATCTATCTACCTATCTATCTATCTACCTATCTATCTATCTATCTATCTATCTACCTATCTATCTATCTAGCTACCTACCTATCTATCTATCTATCTACCTATCTATCTGTCTACCTATCTACCTATGTACCTATCTACCTATCTATCTAACTATCTATCTATCTATCTATCTATCTATCCGTCGATCTTGCTGTCTATCTACATATCTCGCTACCTGCCTACCTATCTTCCTGTTTGTCTATCTATCTACCTACCTATCTATCTTTCTATCTATCTGTCAACCTGTGTATCTCTACTTCTGTCTACCTATGTATCTGTCTATCTATCTACCTGTCTATCTGCAGTATTTGTTCCTTCCTTCCTTCCTTCCTTCCTCCCTTCCTTTCTATGTTGGTTCACTCTTTCATTCATACATGTTCTAAGTCATACCTGAACTCTGGCGCCTAAACTCTGAACCCCAAACCCAACAGCCCCCAGACTCTTAAGCCGCCTTGCTGACACGTTTAGGGTTTAGGGTTTTGGGGTGTAGGGGTTTAGGGGTTTAGGGGTTTAGGGTTTAGGGTTTAGGGTTTACGGGTTTAAGGGTCTAGACACTGCAATTCCCAAGTTCTGGGCAGGAAGAGTTCGTTGGCCTGGGCTGCACTGTGCCCCTTGCCAGGGCGGGTATATTTTGGTCTTCAGGATCCGTGAACAGACCTTTTCGCAAGACAAAAAAGACCCTGACAGAGCCTACGACCCAAACCTCAGGCCCTTGACCGCCTTAACTCACGCCTCCACCCTTACCGCTGCAGGCTCAAGCCCACCATAGAAGCATGGAAGCTGTAAACGAGCGAAAGCCGTCATAAATCCCTAAAACCCTAGACCCTAAACCCCTAAACCCCTAGACCCTAAACCCTATATTTTCACGTTTGGAGCTTTCTGGACCTTACTGGGTGCCGGGTTTCGGCGTTTGGGATCCTAAGTGCTCCCTAAACTTAACCCTGAGCCCTAAACCCTAAGAGCTGCAATTCCCAACCATTGTAAGGGTGTAGGGTTTAGGATGTAGGGTTTAGGGCTACTGCAATTCCCAACCATTGTTGTTGTTGAGGTCTCGCTTGCCTGGGACGCTGACGCTGCTGAGCTGGAGCCCACCCTCGTCGCCAGGGCGCTACGTCCCTTGGTCTTTGCGCAGGGTTTTGTGTCGCTAGTTCAGTACTATACACGCAGCAACTCAACTGTAAGTTGTGCCGTTTCATTACTGCTACTGCTTGACTAATAGTCTTCATGATCTTTTCGGAACATCCGGGATCCTGGGTTCAGGGTTTGTTGTTCAGTGTTTGGGGTGTGGGCTTGAGGGCTTGGGAAGATGAGGGAGTTTCGAAGTACGTGTTAGGATTCCTAAACCCTAAACCCTAAACATTACCTGGACCCCAAAGAACCTACCTTTTTAGGGTTCCTTGTTATGATTTCCTTATATAGGTCCTTAAAACGGTAGGTTCTTTGGGCTTTGGGGTCTAAGTAGGGCTTAGGGTTGGGGGATTCGGGGTTCAGGCGTGGTTCCTTAAGGTGTGCGGGCAGTCGACCTAGCCCGACATCACCCTGACCTGGGGCAGTGTACCGGCGGTTTAGGGTTTGAGGTTTAGGGTTTAGGGTTTAAGTTTAGGGTTTGGGGTTTAGGGCTCCCAAAATCATACACCCCAAGCTGCGAGAGAAGCGCCACAAAAGTGTCGAGAATGGCGACCAATGGCCACCGCTCACCACTTTAAAGGCACTAGGGGATGCATCCGTGAAGGAGTGCATAAATTGGGGTCCCTGTTTAGGTCCCCAACATAGCACGCCACCCTTATACACAGGACCCAAACGGGTCCCTATGTTCGAGAACTGCCCAAATCCGTGCCCCTACAAGTGCTCTTACGGTTTTTTCAGAAACTCCGCCGGGTCATGTAAAGCATCTTTTTATAATGGTTCTGAAAATCCAAGTATCCAAGCAGTAGGGTGTAGGTCCCAATACTAGCCCTAAACCCTAAACCCTAAACCCTAAACCCTAAACCCTAAACCCTAAACCCTAAACCCTAAACCCTAAACCCTAAGCCCTAAACCCTAAACCCTCAACCCTAGACCATTCTCTGTATAGCTGTTTAGAGCCTGGCGACTCGGGCACTTGGACCCTGAGGGTTCTAGCTGCTGATGTGTCAGGATTCGGCACTCGGAGGCGTAGGGTTTCGGAGTTTTGGGTTTTGGGGGTTCAGGGCTTAGGGTTTTGGGTTTCTGCCGCTATCAAGATCATCGGCGGGAGTGGGAGAGCGACCCGGAAACTTCTCAGCCTCCTGCTTCGACAAAAACCTAAGCGCAAGACCCGGAGACCTGTCTCCAAACTGGCAGCTTGCGAGGGTTGCACATGCTTCTCCTGGGTTTTGGAGTACCATGCTTGAATCCTCTCTTTTTTGACTTGTTCCTTGAAGGAAGCAGTATGTCATTATGAAATAGACGTCTATACTTCTTTCTCTTTGGTTGCTTCAAACTCACTCTAAACCCTAAACCCTAAACCCTCTCTGAGCGACCTGGAGAATCCTCCTGCCTCCGCCGCCTTCTGCTTAGCAGTTGGAGCGTGTGGATGTGAATCTCTTGAGGTTTGCATATAGGGTTTAGGGTTTAGGTTTCAGGGTAAACTTCTTTGAAAAGAAACCGGATTTGAGGTTGTTTTGGTCTAATAGAATCCGGAAAGAAGCCCTGCTAAAATTCGGATGCGGACTTATAGAACGCTTGCAAACCCATAGCCTGACGGTAGTAAGAGTCCCCAAAACCTCTGGGCACAATCCCGGACAGAAGACCCCGAAGCAGAAATCTCGGCACTTCTGAAAGCAGTAGTAGTAGTAGTCGTCGTCGTGGTCGTCGTAGTAGTAATAGGAGTAGCAGTAACAGTAGCAGTAGCGGCTCAGGGTTTGGGATTTCTGGGGTTTAGTGGGGGA